CGCTGTTCAAGAACAGATTGTTTATGTTTTTCTGTCTGATCAGGGATGATACGGGTGGATTGCAATGGAGAGGCACGAAAAACATCAACAAATCTTGGTATCATCGTTTGTTGCATCGTTTGTTGTATACGTTGGTATTGCTTCCAGTCTCACGTGTCCATGATCTGCCCAGCCTGCTGACTTCGATGCCTGCACGTTGAGACAGAACGACACCAAACCTCTGAAAGCTATGAATTCTCAGAAACTGTGTCCTTCCTCACCTCCTGTTTGGCTCGCGAGGAGTTCAGCGTGGAGTTCAGCGTGGAATTCATCGTCGAGGTCGTTCCGGTGTCACCTCGTTCGCCGCTTCGCAACCGGTGCGCAAGCCGACACCATCTTTTTGGCACCGATGAAGAGACCCTGATGATAATGATAATGAAGGAACAAAAGAAGGTCCGTAAATATAAATACAAATATACAGTAATATATATAATATAGAAACATATGAAAATATACTAAATATCTATCTATATCTATAGAGAGATATAGATCCTCTAATTGACAAATATTGACAGTTCGATGATAGTGGTGGAAGAAAATGGTTTTGAATGTTGAGTTGGTTGACCTCTCGATCGGCCCAATGATCCATTGGATTCCAATGGGTTTGGTCGATTTGTCCTTTTTGCCGGGGTCGAACTGGGGCCTTACATTGCCTTACATGGCCACGCCAACTTCGCCATTTTTTGCAGACTATGATGGTGTCTTTAATGGAAACACCACCAGCGAAAGAACCACATCCCATCGCCAGATAGCAGGGAAGTGATGTCGAGGAGCCGAAAGTCCGGGTCTGCGACTGCATCGTGTGTGGCCTGGCAGCACATGGCAACACCAGCTTGCACCCACTGCAGTGTCCACCGTTGCCCACCTTTGAATGCAGCAAGTGCTTGAAAAAAGGGAATAAGAACCGTGCCCACCCCGGCGCAGAAGGACAAACAAAAGCTTTTTGTGTGTCTAATGTCAATGTGCTGTTCTAGCCTCAGCTTATCTCAGCTTGCAACCCTTTCTGGTGATCTCTGCGGAAGCTTGGAGTCATGCACCCTCATAAAATCTATTACAATCTCATCAATCTACCATCCTCAGTCTGGAGTTTATGTAGGCTCAACCATCCCGCGGGGAATGGGGGCAACCAACCATAAAGGAAGAACCGCCAAAGGGTTCAGGTACCAAAATCACAAGTCCAATCAACCAAGCACACCCAGAGTGACCTTTTGAAAAGCGCTTCGACATCTTCGACCCTGGTGATGTCGAAGCTGGCCCCACATGGCCCCACCTTCGGGGTAGGTTCGCAGGGCGAGGGCCCTGCGCGCCGGTGGTGGATCGAAACTGACCTCGTTGAGATCTGTTCATTTCTTAAATTACTAGCTTCTTGTTACTACTAGTAAGGCACTTGTTACTACTAGCGT